CTCCATCCCCTCCATCCCCTCCATCCCCTCCCCGCCCCCTCTGGCAGCACTTTTGGTGCCTCTTTCATCCTTGTCATGGTCCCTGTCCCCTCCCTCAGCCCCACACCAACCACGGGCTGGGCACAGACACCCCTTCCCCGGGCTGGCACCTCTGGCATCGCCCTCATTCCACTCCCCTGCCTGGAAGAGGAATCATGGAATCACAGGTTTGGGGTGGGAGGGACTTTAAAGCCCATCCATGGGCAGGGACATCTTCCACCATCCCAGGTTGCTCCAACCTGCCCTTGGACACTTCCAGGGATCCAGGGGCAGCCACAGTTTCTCTGGGGAACCTGTGCCAGGGCCTCCCCACCCTCCCAGGGAGGAATTCCTTCCCAATATCCCATCTATCCCTGCCCTCTGGCACTGGGAAGCCATTCCCTGTGTCCTATCCCTCCATCCCTCATCCCAAATCCCTCTCCAGCTCTCCTGGAGCCCCTTTAGGCCCTGGAAGGGGCTCTCAGGTCTCTCTGGAACCTTCTCTTCTCCAGGTTGGCCTTGGACACTGCCAAGGATGGGGCAGCCACAGCTTCTCTGGGAATTCCATTCCAGCCCCTTCTCACCCTCACAACCAGGAATTCCTTCCCAATATCCCATCTAAATCTCCACTTTTCCAGTTGAAGCCATTCCCTGTGTCCTGTCCCTCCATCCCTTATCCCAAATCCCTCTCCAGCTCTCCTGGAGCCCCTTTAGGCCCTGGAAGGGGCTCCAAGGTCTCCCTGGAACTTTCCCTTCTCCAGGCTGGACAATCCCACCTGTGTCTCCATAGAAGCTGCACGTTGGAGCTTGGATGGATCCTCCCCCCCTCCCCAGTTGCCCCCAGTGACCCCCCATATCCCCCACCCCAAATCCGTGCCCAGATAAGGAAGAAACACAGACCCACTTAACCCAAAATAATTTTATTGTTGCTGTTGCTTCTGATACAAAAAAAAAAAAAAAAGGAATTCCACAAAGAGCCACCTCTCTGTGCGGGACAAGGGGCACAAGGTTTTGGGTTTCCACATTTTTCCCCCCTTTCTCCACAAAAAAAAACAAACCAAAAAAAACAACAAACCAACCAAACAGCAAAAAATGTCAATACAAAATTAAAAAAAACCCCAAACCAACAAACCAAAAACCAAACCAAAAGAGAGGAAGGAAGGAAACCTTGAGCTTTTTCATTTGAGATTTTTTTTTTTTTTGGCTCAACACACACACACATAAACCCAGCTCTGCTAATTTATAATTATTAATAGGTTTGGGTTTTGGCTTGGTTTTCTTTTTTTTTTGTTAGAAAAAAAGCACCTGCTGGAAAACAAAATGAAACAAAATGAAACAAAATAATAATAAAAAAATAAAATAAAAAAAAAAAAAAACCAAAAACAACAAAGAAAACCATCCCAAACATCAGGCCACCCATCCTGTCACAAGCTCTGGGGGGAGGGGACTCTTGTAAAATCCAGAGTCTGGAGTTGCAAAAGTGTTTTCAAGTTTGACTTCAGCCCCCAATACAGTAAACACACACTTCCCCCACGCCCTGGGGACCAGGAAAATCCCACCCAATTCCCCCCCCAAAAAATAATAAAAACCCCAAAAGCTACAGGAATCTGCACTCCTCACGAGGCCCAGGGAGCAGGACTTTGGTGGTTCTCCATAAATATGAGGGGTGGTGGGGACAGTGCAGCGACGCCGGCGATCCCGATCCAGCACCGGCTTCCCGGAGCTGGGAGCACCTCGGGGCTGGGATAAGGTAGTTCCGTGTGAATTAGCACCTTTTATCCATTTGGAACTGCAGAGAGAGGTTCATGCAGGATTTAGGGAATGGCAGAGCAGGGAAGGACATCTGGAGGGAGGGAGGGGGGAGGAAAAGCCCAGCTGGAATAACGGGGGGAAGCAGGGAGCCCTCCTGGTTCTGGATTCCTGTTTTCCACACCCTCTGGAGCGCATCAGATCCACAGTGACCAGAGACTGCCCATCTCTGGGGCCACCTTGATGGAGGGGACAACCAGAGGGGAGGGACTCCTGGCCAGGGGGATGTGGCCACAAGCGCCGGAGTCGCATGGACAGAGCGGCTCCGAGCCCAGGGCTCTTCTGGAAGTGGCTGTTCCTGCCTCCCACCCCATCCCCATCTTGCTTTTCCCGGGATTTTCATGGCTGTTGGCCATGGAATGTGCCCCTGCAGCGTGGGATGTGCACCTTCCCAAGCCCTCCACCCCTCTGGCACGGGAAGCATCCCGGTGCTCTCCACTGGGATCACGAGGTGCTTCCCACCAGCTTTGTCCAACCACGCCCAACTTCAATCCATCTGCCTTTCCCCAGAGCTCCTCCCTGGGAGGACACCTGAACCCCTGGACTTGCTGGAGCTCTGGGAAAGCCCTTCCAGCTCCACACTTGTTCAGCCTGGTGGGAAGACCTGAGGTGTCCCAACAGGAGCCTGTGGTCTCAAGGCCTGGTTGCTTTGGGATGTGAGGGGGGCAACCTGAACTGGCCTTTTGCTCACAGGGGACCTTTGTTGCTTGAAAGAGGAGCCCCAAAAGCACCAGAGGAGCCCCAAAGGGACCAGAGGAGCCCCAAAGGGACCAGAGGAGTCTCAAAGGGACCAGAGGAGCCCCAAAAGCACCAGAGGAGCCTCAAGGGACCAGAGGAGCCTCAAGGGACCAGAGGAGCCCCCAAGGACCAGAGGAGCCCCCAAGGACCAGAGGAGCTCCAAAGGGACCAGAGGAGCCCCAAAAGCACCAGAGGAGCCCCCAAAGACCAGAGGAGCTCCAAAGGGACCAGAGGAGTCCTAAAAGCACCAGAGGAGCCCCAAAAGCACCAGAGGAGCCCCAAGGGACCAGAGGAGTCCTAAAAGGACCAGAGGAGCCCCAAAAGGACCAGAGGAGCCCCAGAGGACCAAAGACCAAAAACGACCAGAGGAGCCCCAAAGGGACCAGAGGAGCCCCAAAGAACCAGAGGAGCCCCAAAAGCACCAGAGGAGCCCTAAGGGGACCAGAAGAGCCCCAAAGGGACCAGAGGAGCCTCAAAGGGACCAGAGAACATGGAGAAGACAGCGAGAGACAGAGCACAGCCAGGGCAGGGATGGGATGGTTTCTGCAGCACCATCATGACAACGCAGAAGCAAAGGAGGAACAAGAGCTGTTGGGAAAGGCACTGACACCAGGCCCTGCCAAAGCTCCTTCCCAAGCTTTCCCCAGACCCCACCCCCATTTCCCGGGCTGTGGGGTGGGCTATGACCATGGAGGCACCCCATGGCACCACCCTGCCAGCTTGGACAGTGTCTTGGTTGCAGGAGCCAGGAGGGAGCTGAGCAGGGGGCGGGGAGTCCCTGCCGGCGAGGGGCTGGAACCTTTGGCGAGGTTTGGAACCCTCGGCAAAGCTCCCGGGAGCTCTCGGTGCGGCG